GAGGATCTCAGGTAAAATGTTAGCTCTCATACTTACTCCTTGTGCAATTTGGGACACACAACCGAGGTCATTTCCTATGCAGAATATTATGAGGGCTGAAGAATAGCTACTCATCTTCTTTATTACATTTAGCCCTGCATATTAATTTTGACTCAGCTCTACCACACAGCCTCCCTCCCCACTTCGGGCACTACATTTGCATTGTAATGGCAGAAACCGTCCTTAACAGAGGTTCCAGCAGAAAATGATCAGAAATCTGAGCACCCAAGTTTTACACCTCCTATCTGGCTAACTACATGCATGTCCATTCTAGAAACAATCCAGTTTTTCCCATCTACAGCCCACAATTGTTCTATCCAGAGCAGAGGGCCCCAAGCAGCCAATCACAAAAGTCCAAGTCTGCTCTGGGGGATTCAAGGGTAGAAGCACTTTCTCTGAAATCTGAGATCATTTCCAGTAACAAAAGACCCAGGCCACAGTTGGAGGGCCCCTACAGTCCTCTAGTCTCCTCCCTATGTCCAAATCAAAGTGCCATCACCATCTTGCCTGCAGATCCAAGACTTCAGAGAAATAACCTTCCCAAGGAAATGCTGGGAATCCTGAGTCCAGGTCTGGCACTTCTCAAACTTTTTAATCTCAGGCTCTCTTTATACTCTTCTTATTTTGCTTCTATGGAGTATATGCAGGGTACCATGAGGCTTAAGTAACAAAGCAGATGTAAAGCACTTTGCAGATCTTAAAGGGCTATCTAAATACCAGTTATTGTTGTTGTTACTATTATTGTGATCATTAGCTTACCATGATCCCCAGGGGCCCAGGCTGGTGCTGACTTCATTCCCTGAGCCTCTTGCTGCACTCCTGCCGAGATTTTAGTTTATAAGCATGTTTATAGAACAGTACAGGGGTGTGCTGCTAAAGGTTTAACAACCAGGCTCTCTGGGGAAAAAAGAATGTATGCACACACAATTCTGAGTTTAATTCCCATTATTATCATCACCAAGCAAATAAAGCCCTGATTTATAGTTTTCAACCAGATTAGAACTTGTTCTAGCACAAGCCCAGTTATATCAATAGTTCTGTATTAAAACTAAAATTGATAAATTGTTAACCCATTACACATTAATAGAAAATATTTTTAATGAAAAATAGCAATATTTTCCTAAATAAAAAAAATTTGAGGAGAACAGTGGCATCGTCTTACACATTTTTGCAAATCTCTTTAATATCTGGTTTAACAAAAGACAGCTGGATTCTCATATTTGCTTTTGAATTCAATCTGAAGTCAGGAAGATCTGAATTCAAAAATCTGGTTTCTGACATTTACTAGATATGTGACCCTGGGCAAGTCACTGAACTTGTATCTGCCATAGTTTCCTCATCCGTAAAATGGGATAATAATAGCACCTACCTCACAGGGTTGCTGTGAGGATAAAATGAGATAATATTTATGAAGCCCTATATTTTGTTCTTCAGTCTTTTCAGTTATGACTGTATGGGAGGTTTTCTTGGCATAGATACTGGAGTGATTTGTCTTTTCCTTCTCCAGCTCATTTTACAAATGAGGAAGCTGGCGCAGACAAGGGTTAAGAAACTTGCCCACAGTCACACAGCTAGTGAGTACCTGAGGCCGCATTTGAACTCAGGTCTTTCTGACTCTAGGCCTGGTACTCTGTGCCACCTAGCAGCACTACCTAAGTGTTTTAGTTAAAGAAAATCTGGCCTCACAAAAATATACAGTTGGAAAATGGAGGGGTATTTAAATAGGCAAATAACCTCTTAGCATTATTTTGAAGACAGTTTTGACCTCAAGGACCCTACTTGGAGTACCACCACCCTAGCTTACGGCAGCCTTTCCTCTCACATCCCAATCTGTTGATGCCAATTCAGCTAACGACCCCATCTGGTCCATAGTTGGGAACAGAGAATTCCCGATGAATGACGATAGTAATGAAGCCCCTTTCTCTTTAAAAGCTGAAAGTGCTTGCCAACCACCAGTGTGTGGTGCCACGCTCCTGGTCCTCAATGTCAGCACACGAGGGAGTGAAGAAGGTGGTTGCCAGCCTGCAGTGAGGAGGCTAGAAAATCGGCCACCTGCCCTCCTCTGAGTGAAAGCCAGGACAACTGAGCAATCTTCATTGAGGATTCGTGGACTCCAAGGGCTGGTTCCATGTCCGTCACTTCGGTCCTCATCACTCCCACTACCAGCACCCTGGTAGTGATCTTTTGCATCATCAAGAGTCCTGTGCTATGTGCATTGGGAGTTACAAAGAAGCCTAAGACATGCTTCTGGCCCTACGAGTGCTTATGGTCTAGTGGAAAAGATAAGACATAGGTGTGTGTGGAAAAGACAGCTACAATAATAAAGCCGCATGTTATAAGTGATGCAGACAAGAGTTGTAAGCTATTGCAACATCTTATTTTTAAGTATACTTCTTTTTCATTAACAAGAATTTTCTTTTCTCTTTCTTCCATTTCCCCCCTTGCCACTGGGGGAAAAAAAGGATAAACAAAACCCTTATAACAATCATATATATTCAAGCAAAACAAATTTCCATATCAGCCACTTCCAAAAATATGTACCTCATGCTACTGTAATCTTCTTAACTCCTCACCTCACCTGGAATCTCCCCCAACTCAAACCATCCTCCAGACAGGGCCCTCCTGCCTCTTCCTAATGGACAGCACTCATCAGAGACAGCTTGGCCTAATGGGCGTACTTGAAGTCAGTAAGACCTAGATTCAACCCTGCCTCTGATATCTATACAGCACTCAACAGACTACCACCGATCAAGAGGTGGAAGGGACCTCCGAGGCCACGTAGCCCAACTTGCTCATTTTCTAGATGAGAAGTCGCCACCTTGAAGAAGGGGAAGGGACCTGTCCCAGATCATGCAGATGGTGTCAGAGACAAGGTGGCCAGACTCTAGAGCCAGGAACTTTCTGCTCAGATCTTACCATCCTGCTCAAAAATCTTTATATGGCTCCTTGTTGCCTCCCATATAAAGAAGAATATCATTAGCCCAGCATTTAAGGACATTCACAATTGGGCTCCAAACCACTTTTCTAAACTAATGTTACGTTGCAGCCAAACTAGACCCTTGCCACATGCCACCCCTAAACACATCCTATTCTTTGCCATCCCTGGGCCTAGCCCTCAGCACAGGTGTACCACAACCAGCCCATCTCTGTCCCTCAAAATCTTCACCTTTTAAAGGTCCCCTCAGGCGTCCCAGGCTTCATGAAGCCTGTCCCCCTTTCAAGAAGAGTGAGACTTCACCTCCTCCCGTGAGCTCATAGTATTTTATCTGCACTTCTCACCCACTTAAGATTCTAAGTTACTGGAGAACAAAGGCCATATTTTCCAGGCCCATATCACTTTCACATCCATGAAGTGCCTGCCCACAGTACTTAGTCTCACTATTTTTTCCACAAACTTATATCTTATATACACTAGGCCATATGCTCCTGGAAGGCAAGAATCATATCTTATACCTCTCTGCTGCTCACCTAACCACACACACACACACACACACACACACACAGCAGGCAATCACACTCTTAAAGTGAACCAATCACAGGGTTCTGACAACTGTGCCATCCAAAAACACACCGCACCTTGGCACTAGCAATAGATTCTCTACCATCCCACCTTACATAAGAATTCAAGAAAAGGGCAGCTGATTCTTTCCAATAAGATGGCCTCATGTAGTAATTGTGCTATCTTTTAGATACTATGTGAATCCACACCAGGACAACTGGTAAAACAGTTCCACTCCCAAAATACAGACAACATTATGCAGTGCTGGAGAAATAGAGAGCAATCACCTACCATTTCTAAATCAACTTTGGCTGACAGTCCTTCTAAAGAGTCAGTATTCTGAAAGTAATTAATACTGATTAGTTTATGAAACAGGACCTAAGAATCCATGAAGTAATAAGTCCATTCATGTACATAGCACTCAGCTGTACCTTATACACAGGAACTTACTGCAACGAGAGGTGGGGAGAAGGCATGAAAATCAAGCAGGGTGAAGACAGCAGTAAATCAGATCTCTTCTAGGAAGTTAGCAACAGAAGAGGAAAAAAGAAGCTTCTACAATTTAGACTCTTTAAAAAAAAAACAAGAAAACAATGATATCCCCAAGTCCACAGTAAATACACATATATGTCTCTTATATATCTGTGTATATTCATATGTGCATGTAAATATGGACATATATATGTGTATATAACTACACATGCATATTGATAAATGTGTGTGCATATATACATGTGTGTTTATATGTATGTGTGTGTACATAAACTTATACACATATGTGTATTTCAGAAAGGGTTCTGACTACTAATAAGACCTACTGAAAATACCCAAAATTTCACTACAATCATTACTGGTACCTAAAGTCTTAAGTAAGGTCTATGAAGAGGCCAAGCCTAACTGAATCACAGCCTTACTAAAATCACCCACATTCCCCAACTACAATCCAGATCTGATTACCACTTTGCCTTCATCTATCTACTCATTTTGCTACTTGGGGAAATAATCATTCACAGAAGGAAAATCTCAGGACTAGATCCTGCCCATTTCCCAATGATGACAACCAGTTCTATAAAGCTAGTGAAGTAAAAAAGAAATCAGGAAATAAAAACATTGGTTAAAATAAAGAAGAAAACTATTGAACAAAACCCAAACCAGCAAGGAAGCTAAAACTTCCCTACACCTAAGCCAGGAACAGAGAAAGAAAGGAAAGTAACAAAGGTGAAGCCAAAATGTTCTCCTTCTCTGGTTCTGTCTGTCTGTCTCTCCCCCCACAACTCTCTATTTTCAAGATATAACTTAAGCCTTAAGGAAAGGAGGTCTAAATGCTCTCCTGTCCCTAAAAAAGCCACAAGAGGTGGAAACTACACACCCAAGTGTCCTGATTCATGCTGCAAATTTGTTTTTGCAAATTTGCAAATTTCCTTTTCAGTCACAAAAAAAACCGCATCTGGAGAAGACTCACCATCTTTAGGAGGCCCCAGTCAAACATCTTCCTCCTCCTCTTGCTCTTCCTTCAAGTGCCTTCTTGCTGTAGAGGAAAAAAAAGAACCAAGTGGTTTAATTGCAGGGCTAATGATGAACACCAACAGCCTCAGCCGAAGCAGTCAAAAAAGATTTAGCTTCCTCCTTTGAAAGCTCAGGTTTCACTCCTAGGGACTAGGCGTCGGGCCCCGCCCCCAGTCTCTGGTTGAGCGAATCAGGAGCGGGCTCCCTCAGGCTCCACCCAGAAGATCCCTCCCAAACTGGAAGTCCCAGTGCCAGTCTCTGGTCAATTTCAGGGATCAGTTTCCTCCCTACCCTACAGCTCAACATGGCACAGAGGAGGGGGGGGGGTCACCCTCAATTCTACTTTCTCCCACTAAACACCAACCTTCACTGTGCCCCAATCCCAACCCGGATCTGATCCACCTCTGAACATCCCCATGCCCCGTAGAACGGGGTCCCTGCTGAGGCTCGGATGAGGATCCCATTGCACCCCGCCCAGTGCCCTCAGAGGTACCTCACCCAGGATACTCCCCCCGACCCTTTGAGGATGAGATTGATCCCTCAGAGACCTCCAGATAACCCAGAGAGTCCTTGGAGGGACACTCCTCAGAACCTTGAGCCCACTCTGAACCAGGTGCGTCCAATCCCCCTTGGAGTCGGGTCCCCCGTAACCATTCAGAAGGACCCCATACAAAGGGCCCTGATCCTTGGAGGGCATCCCCGACCCAAGAACCCTTTAGCCCTCAGAGGGGACCTCCGACTCCTCAGAGGAACCCCCAAACCTGAAGAATCCCTGACCTCCAGATGGATCCCCAAACCAGAGGGACCCCTGACTCCTCAGAGAAACTCCTCAGACTCTAAAAGCTGGGACCCACCACCTCCCGGAGGGACCCCTAAACCAGAGGAACCCAGACCCTTAAAAGGGATCCCGGAACCCCTCAAAGTTTGGACCTCCGACCTCCAGGAGGAATCCCCAAACCAGAAGAACCCTGACCTCTCAGAGCAACTCCCTCAATCCTTGAGATCTGGGACCTCCGACCTCCCAGAGGGACCCCCCAAAGCAGAAGAACCCCACCTCTGAGACCTAGGACCTCCGACCTCCCGGAAGGACCTCCAAGCCAGAGAGAATCCCAACCCTTGCGATCTGGGACCTCCGACCTCCTGGAGGGATCCTCAAACCAGAGGGAACCCAACCCCTGAGACCTGGGACCTCCGACCTCCCGGAGGGACCCCCAAGCCAGAGAGAACCCCAACCTCTGAGACCTGGGACCTCTGACCTCCCGGACAGACCCCTAAGCGAGAGAGAACCCCAACCCCTGGGACCTGGTACCAGAGACCTTCCGGAGGGACCCCCAAGCCAGAGAGAACCCCAACCCCTGGGACCTGGTACCAGAGACCTTCCGGAGGAACCCCCAAACCAGAGGAACCCCGAACCCTCAAAACGATTCCCCTAACCCTTGAGAGCTGGGACCTTCGACCTCCCAGAGGGACTCCGAGATGACCCCTCAGGGCAAGCTCACCTCAGCCCTCTCCCTCCTTCTCCCCTACCCTCTCCTCACCCCGCAGCGGGCTCGCTCTTCCCTCCTGCCGAGGCCCGAGCCGGACCCGGAGCCGGGCCGCCACCACCGAGATTGGAGCCGAGGCTGCTCCTCCCCCTCCCTCTTCCCCTCTGGCCCCTCCCACCGCCGCCACCGCCTCCTGCGCCCGCTCCCAGCCCGGAAGTGGCTCCATGGACCCGCCGAGCCCTCGCTTATCGCTCAGGCCCAGAGCTGCCAGCTCCGCGCATGCTCAGGAAGCGACGCTGACGGACGCGCAGGGAGACCGGAGACAGAGCGCCCCCACCCGACCCCGAGAACCTAGAAAGCGCGAAGTGCTCCATCTGGTGGCCAAGAGGAGGAACTGCACCCTCCACCTACTGGGACATCCTCCGGGGGAGAGAAAGGTTCGAGGTGAACTCACTCCATCAACAAGCATTTATTAAACGCCACTTATGTGCTAAGCTCTTTGCTGGGCATGAGGATAATCAAAGGATCCTAGGGCTAGAGCTTCAAGGGCTGTCAGGGGCCATCCAGTCCAACCTGTCTTTTACAGGTGAACCATCACAGAGCGGATTCAAACCCGAGCTCCGACTGCAGAGCCAGTGTGCTTTGCACTGCACCAGGCTGCATAGAGTAGGTAGGAGGCATATAATAACTGGCTTGAGTGACTAAATGATGCCCCCCATCCTTATCAGAGTGCATCCTTGGCATCACTGCAGGAGCTGTTATGAGGCTCTGAACTAGGCGTGGGGACGGAAGATGAAAGGTGGTAGGGTCTCAAAAAGATGGATAACCCAGCAGGGAAGATTTGACTAATGACCATACAAATTAGAATACATATAAGTGCACGGGGTGGTGGAGGGGGGAGTACAGGAGATCAGCTGGGTTTCCTTGTCCCTTCGTGCTCCTGCTCCACTTCTCTCTTAAAAAACACACCTGCAGGTCTTTTGCTGAAATAATTATAGGTCCTGCCAGGTAGAGAGAGAAAGGAGCTGATTGTTAAATTTTTAATGTGAGTATTGGAAATAAGGACCCTTCAAACCAGGGCCTGATTTATTGTTTGTTGATTATCTAGACACAAGAAAGTGACATGTAAAAGTGTGTCCTGAGATTTTTGTACAACTAGTTGTTCAACATTTACCAGCACAACCTCCAAGTGAGTCTCCTAACAGGTATAATAATCCAGCGTGACTCTGGATACTTTTTGAATCTTGCAAATCTTAAAGCACTATATAATGTTGTCTATTAACTGGTGACATTACTGATAGAGCTTTGAATTGTCACCATCCTTCAGACATTTACTAGCTGTGTGACCCTGGGCAAGTCACTTAACCCCGACTGCCTCCAAAAATATATCTAAAAATTAAAAAAAAAATCATCACCATCCATCTCCCTTGTAATCCTGGTCATTTAGACTCTTCCCTGCTCTGGGCCTCAGTTTCCAAAACTGTAAGAATGAAAATAAGAATGCCCCACCCCCACACTACCCTCTTACACATTATACGTCGGCAGTAACTTTAACACCCACCTCTGAGATGTTCAAGACCAGGTATCAGGTACTAGAAACAATCAAAAAGAGAAACCGAAGAAAGGAATTCTAGAGGGATGAGACATTAGAAGGGTCTTGGACAGAAACACTGAAAATACAGTTATGTTTTCTTGCTTAATATAGTCCTGAGAACTGGGGAGAGGCCTTAATTCCCATCAAGTCCAACCACTGGGCAGGAGAAGAAACTGATGGCCAGAGAAAGGAAATGACTTAGCCAAGGTTATCCAACAGAATGCAACTGCCTGGGAAGTAGAAAATGTAGAGGGCTTTTTTTTTTTGGAGGGGGTGGCTTTTTTTGTGTTTTGTTTTTTTGCTGTGTGTCTCTGGCTCCAGTGTCTGGCAAACAGTAAATACTTGATAAATGCTCATTGACTGACTGGCCTCTGAGGTCCCTTCTGGCCCTAAATCTATGATTAAGAGACATTGCTGCAACTTGTTATAGACAGATTAAAATGTGAGTCTCCTGCCATGCCCCCCCCAACTCATCACTTTGTTTGAGTAAATAAGGAAAACTATTCTAATTTTTCAAAAGGAGAAATGTTACATTAGAAGACATCATGATCATGATCGTGCCTGTATATTGTGCGTTTTTAAGGAAATGTTTTTGTTATAGAGCTCCCAAGGAAATGCATTTTTTTAAATTATTAGCACTCCACCCTTCCTGTCATCCAGGTTCAAAACCTCAGAATCATCCTCAGGTCTTGCCTCTCCCCTACATCCCATCAGTTGCCTAGTTTTCTAGCCTCTATGTCCACAACATCTCTTATCTGTCCCCTTATCTGACCTCCCTGGTGGCTTATTTCATCATCACTTCTCACCCTGACCATAGTTGTATCCTCCTAATTGGCCTCTTTTCTTCTGGCCTCCGCAGAGCTGCCAAATCAAAAACACAGGTCTGGCCATGTCACCTCAAGAATCTTCAGTGGCTCCGTCCTTCCTCAAGGATAAAGTGCAAGCTCCAACGTGTGGCTTGGAAAACCCTTCACAGTCTGGTCCCCGGGGGTGTTCCAGGCTCCTTAGTGATCACCACATTTCAATCAAACTGGCCTGGTTGCTGTTTCCTTCGAGGCTCAGCAACTGAGACATCTATGTGGGTGTTTCCTGATCCATCCCTACTCCCTCGACACAAACACAGACATAACTTCTTCCCCCTGAAATTACTTTGCCTTTATTTACCTGGGTCTCAGCTGTATTCCTCAGATTGACTATAAGCTCCTTGAGGGCAGAGACCAACTTTTCACTTTGGATTTTATATCCCTAGCACCTAGGACAGAGCTTCACATATAAAAAATGTTTGTCAAGTTGTGTCTAAATAACAGAGCTCGGAGGACATAATTTGATTCCCTTGTAAAGATGTTCTAGATTATGGAACATTAATTTAACTTGGGATGATTGTTTGTGTGGCTGTCACTTCTCTCTCCCTTTACCCCAGACCTGTGAGATCGTATTTCAGATCTTACTTACCTAAATTAGCTTATTATTCCAGGTGTTCTACGCTCCCATCCTGCTATCATCTCCACTCCCAGTCCTGGAGGCTGAAGGTGCTATAACAAATCACTAAGTTTCACTGGGCCTTGCTTCACCCAGAGATAATCCCACGCCTCTATCACCACCATAGGGCATCCTTCTCACTTCTGACAGTGAGGAGGAGGTAAAGAGCTACTCGGTTGGTACTGTGGCTCACTGCAAGTCCCACCTTGTTCCTAAACCCCGGGAGTAAGTTCAACCAACGCCCTGGATTACAGATCCCAAAAAGACAAGGTGAACCTCCCTCAAGAATTCTGAGATCGCTTTTTATCAAAACAGATAACCTTTTATCATTCCTTCACTCTTTGTAGATTTGGTATGGAGCCTTCAAGCCCCAAGCACAAGGTCTTGATGACTCACATTTGTGAGTTCAAATCTAGCCTCAGACACTTACCGACTGTGTGACCCTGAGCAAGTCACTTCACCCTGTTTGCCTCAGTTTCTTTGCCTGTAAAATGAGCCAGAAAAGGAAATGACAAACTACTCCAATATCTTTCCCAAGAAAACCCCCAATGGGGGGGATATGAAACAACAGCCCTTACGTACTCCCTCCTAATCTAAGCCTCTTAGAATCCATACTAGCATTCAAAGCTCAGCTCAAACCATACATCTCATCTGATGCTTTTCCTGATCACCAACCCCATATTCTAAAGCAGCATCCATGACCTGAGACAGACAAAAAAAATACATTTATTAATATTTGTAAATATTAATATTAATATGTGTTTTCCTTCATAATCCTTGGTGTTTTATTTTAGGCATTCCAACAACATGATTCTGAGAAGGGGTCCATGGATTTCACCAGACTGCCAAGGGAATCCAGGACACAAACCAGATGGAAAGCTCCCTCAATGGACCTTATATTTATTGTGTTATGTGCTAACATGTATAAACTTAACATATTATACGTCTTGCCTCACCCTGTAGATTGTAAGTTCCTAAAGGGCACTTTTCATTTCTGTCTGGGTTTCATTCCTGTCTTTGTATCCTCAGCATATAACAGTCACCTAATAAATGCCTGTAAATTGACTGGCTGATATCAAGTGTAGGGAATAAAAGGATAGAAAAGCAGCCTGGGAGAGCAGGAAGTGATCTATCTCCTGCCTGACCCAAAAGGCTCTACCATCCTTGCAAATCCTGGGACAGGGTCAATACTAGAAAGACAGTATTACACAGTAGAAAGTGGGTTGAATTTGAAGTCAGCAGATCTAGGTTAAAATCTTGGCTCAACAACTTAAAACCTGTGTTATTTTGTGTCACTCTGGGCCTCAGTTTCCTCATCTGTAAAATGAAAAGCCTGTACTAGATGTTACCTGCAGCCCCTTCCAACTTTAAATCTTTGATTGTAAGGACAATTACAGAACATAAAGACCCTTTAAAGTTCTCTGGCCTTCATTTCTACCAATAAGGAAAGAGACCCATGCCAGTGGGCTTTGGGACAGGAGTTACAAAACTTTATCTCAGCTTCCATGTGGTTGCTGTTCCCCATAGATGGGATTGCATTGCCCATATCTGTGACTTTGAACAAATTAATCCTCTCTGAGTCTGGGGTATTCTCCCTCCTTACCCCTGCCTCTTGAGGTCCCTACCTCCTTGGCTATCTCCTGCACCTTACCTAATCCACCCCAGTCGTTATCATTCCTCCCTGCAATTACTTGGTATTTACTTAGCTGCATGCATTGTGCTTCTCCCCAGTGGAATTACTCCTTGAGGACCAGAAATGTTTTGTTTTTGACTTGGTATCCCCAGCACCCAGCATGTGTACCAGATAAGTGCTCATTAAAATAAAGTCAACAGACTGGCCAGCAGATATACCAACATATCCTATCCCAGCTCTTCCTCTGAAGAATTCTTGCCCTTGTGACCCAGGACAGGTCATTTAATCTCTCAATGCTCCGCGAACTCTAAGACTGGACATGCCAAAGCAGGCACCTAATTGCTTTGCGATGGGAAGTTTTCCTAGTAAGAAAGTCTTTACTGAAGGCATTGTTCTAGTCTTTAGAAAAAAATGATTAGTGTGCCAAGTCTGGTATGAAACAATGGTCTCTTTTAAAAGTTACCGCAGGAGAAATCAACAGGCAAAATGTAAAAGCCAAGAGGTCTAGTTGAAACAGGCTCCACTTCATTCGATCAGCTCTCCCCAGGTGGAAATCCTGAGGTAAAGAAGTAGCTTTTCTGTGACCATATACTAAGTAGAGGAAGAGCTAAAAATAGAAGCCTCATCTTTAAACCTTTTTCCCCTGCTCCCATTCAGTGGCTGTTCTCTCTCATCCCCCTTGAGGATTTTCAGGGAGTCCTCTGAGAAGTACCAATGGACCTCCAAAGTCATCACCAGGCTTATGCAAGATACACAAAAGTCTGGTGGCTTCAATTCAACAAACATGTCTTACACCTCTCACTATGGGCCAGGCACTGTAGATGTAAAGGCAAGAAAATGCAATAGTACCTGCTGTCAAAGGAGTTTACACCCCCTATTCGATTCTCTTGTGTTTGGTGGTGGTGGTTTTTTTTTTTAATTCTGGTATAGTTTTTTTTTCTTTTTTAAAATTTTTTTCTTTTTTTTTCCTAATGTAGGTTTTTTTATTTTATTTTGTTTTTAAGGCAATTGGGGTTAAGTGACTTGCCCAGAGTCACACAGCTAGTAAGTGTCAAGTGTTTGGTCTGAGGCGGATTGAACTCAGGTCGTCCTGACTTCAGGGCTGGTGCTCTATCCACTGCACCATCTAGCTGCCCCAGTGTAGATTTTTTTTAAGAGCTGGAAGGGACCATAGTCTGGCCCCACCAATTTGTAGAGAAGGAAACCAAAGCCCAGAAGAAGGAGAGCACTTTGTTCAAGGTCACTCAGCTAGCTAGCAGCAAAGCTGAGACTGGAACCCAGGTCTCCAGATGTGGGAAAGATGCAAGGTACTTTCCAGTGCCCCACGATATCAGTGATCTACAAGTGAGCCTCTCAGAGGAGGCAGCCAGACCTAGTGGTGGCTCCTTCCTCCCAGGCAAATTCTAATGCTTTTTTGCTATCTCCGTGATAAGGCAGCGCAAACAGGGAATGTATCCTTTCCCAGGGATCTTTCACCACAATAAGCTACTATTCAAACTAAAAAAAAAAAAAAAGCTAGCTTTACCTTGGTTACCTTCTGAAAGACAAACCACCCAACTGAAGGGAACCCCCTGTGTATCTAACCTAGTACAGGCTCTACAGAAAATACAGAAAAGAGGGGAAACTTCCCACCCCAGTTCCCACACACACACAAAGACTGAGAGAGACAGAGAGAAATGGGGGGGGGGATTCTGGGTGCTAACTCACCTGGAGGATGAGGAGGATCAGCTAAGACTGGAGCAGAGGGAGATACTGACTGTGCCGAGGCTCTCCCACTTGTGACTCACTCCTGGTACCTGTTTGCCACGCAGGATGTCTCCCTAGAGTGACCATTGCACAAAGAGACGAACTGTTGAGAACTGTTCCCCCCGTTCCCTGGGGGAAGCCAGGAAGCACGTAAGAAGAAGCTACAATCAGGAAAGATGACAGAACAACTGGTCCCTGGGGGAGACGGAAAGGATGTGTTGCTGGAGGGGGAGATGGTAGGGGGGAAGGGATGGGGAGGCAGGTATGGAAGAAGGCTGCCCCCACTAGAATGAGGATCGGATGGCCTTGGCAGGGGGCTTCTCAGAGGAGCCAGGGCGATGAGCAGCAAGACTCGCTGCTTCAGACACAAACAATGGTGACCAGATCCTCAGGGAACCGAGTCATTTCCAAAGGAAATCCCCTCGTTCCTCCTGGGCTTCAAAAGGTCCACCAGCAGACATCAAAAGAAGACTGAGAGAGAGTTTCCTCAATAATGAACAAAAACAAAGAGCTGAGGGGGGGAGGAATCCCAGAGAAATCAAAGCCAGGCCAGTCATCAAACACTGACTGGAAGGGGGGAAGGAAGCCCATGCTCACCTGGCAGGTCACAAGCTGAGACCCCATGGACCCAAGCCTTCAAGCTAAGAGCTTTACCTCTCCAGGCTAGTTGCATTTAAATTCCCAGTCCAGGAGTTATGTGATTGGCTGAAGCCAGCCGAGCTCCTCTTACCTCATTGGTCTAGGCCTGAGAAGAAACACCTACTAGGACTCAGTCTGTCCCAGCAAGTTGATTGGTAACTTTTAAATGTGTCTTTCCCACACCTTTCTGCTGAATCCAAAGCCTTTGTGAAGCTGCCCTAGTCAGCCACAGCCCTGTGGGTTTTTTCCAAGAGGTTGTTGCTAGGACACTGGCAACAGGTGTGGCCCACACCTGGCCTGAGCTCCAGTACTACTGACTTCTCATTCTTGTTTTCCTGGGCTCCCGGCTGACTTTAGGAACTTTTTTTGAGGGTTTTCTTTGGGGGGGAGGGCAGAGATATCTTTGCAGACCTGAGTCTTTTCAGAAAGAATTGAGCTGCTTCGGTCGCATTGCTAATTATTTCAATTCAAATGGGAAAAACTCTGTGAAAATTCGAGGTATGTTGTGAAGGGAGATCCTTGTCCCTGATTTTTACAGGCTGCCTAGCCTAAAATTCCCTTCCCTAACCATACCCTGTGACCTCATTCCTACCCATGCCAATCCTACTGACATCCGTACTCAACTCTTCAATGTCCCACAGCCAGAGCAGGGACTAGAATTCAGCCCTCTGGAAGCTCTCTCCTACTAACAGAAATCTGCCCTGAGTGACCTCTCCCCCCACCTGCCCCCTTGGAATTACTTTGTATAGATTTTCTATTTTCTGATATGTGTTTCCTCCCAATAAAGTATAAGTTTCTTGAAGCAGGATTTGTTTCTTTTTGTCTTTGCAGCCCAGGACATAGCGCATAACAGGTATCCAACAAAAGCTGGATTCGAATGAACTGGACTCCCTTGTTTCTGAGGTCACTTAAATGGAGTTTAACTGTGAACCGAAAGAATTTCGTTTTGCCTCTAAGTGATTACTGCAGGGCTGTGGTTTGCTGAGTGGGCGCAAGACAGAACAATGTATATGTGAAGAAACAACCTGTACCTTTTATTCTTTTCCCACAGACATTTCTTTGCTGTAGTTACATCTAACTGTACCATCTATCTATTGCCTTTATCCAGCCTGTTTCTACAGATGTCTGGTGAGCTGCAGTTAATTCTGGGTATCATAGATCATACATATCTTTTTTAAAGCAGGGGTTCCTTAATGGTGCTATATATATATATATATATATATATATATATATTCCCATGTATTCCTGCACCAATAGAAAAAGCATTTCCTTTGATTTTTGTTTCTTTACCATATAAAAGAAATCTTCGAGTAGATCTAATTGAGTTTGTAGTGAGATCTCTCTCCCCCTCCTCCCCCATCTCTCTCTGTGTCTCTGTCTTTCTGTCTCTCTGTCTCTCTCTGTGTGTCTCTCTCCCTCCCCTCCTCCCTTTCCCTCTTTCTGCATCTCTTTCACATTTCAAGTTTTAAAAATCTGTTGACTCTTGACTATGTCTCAGAATTTTTCCTTCAGGTACCACAACACTAGCCACAAAAAAATATAGAACTGGCCCAACCTGAAGCAGGCTGGCATTTTCGCCAGAAATGAAGCAACTTTTTTTTTTCCTTTCAAAGACTTTGATGGCCAGGGCTATGTTTAATGGGAGCCCCTAGGGGTGCCATCTCTTCCATTCTATGCTAGACTATCTTAACCTATTACAGCGAACCTGCTGCCCCCAAGGCCACATATGGCCCTCTAGGTCCTCAAGTGTGGCCCTGTTCCCCACCCCTAACCTATCCTACCTAACCTACCCTATTCTGCTCAGCATATATTAAGTACCTACTGTGTGCCAAGAATACAAAGACAAAACAAAACCAAAAAGCCCAGATACTACACTGGAAGAATTTCCATTCTACTCTGCTTTGGGCAGAACTTAACTTTTCTTTTTCTGTTAAGTTTTTTTAATTTTTATTTTCTTCCAAATTCTCTAGCTCTGGTCTCCAAGTTCTCCTTCTGGTCCCTCCCACACCCATTGAGAAGGCAAGAAATAAGATACCCACGATAAATATTAGCCATCCATATTGCAAGGGGGGAAAGCAAGAAAAACAAAGTGAAAAAAATCTGCTTCCGTCTGCATTCAAAGTTCACTGGTTCATTCTCTGGAAGTGGATAGCATTTTTCATCATGAGTCCTTTGGAACTGTCATGGATCATTGTATTGAGCAGAATAGCCAAGTCTTTCTCAGCTGATTATTGTGACAATATTGCTGTTGCTGTGTACAATGATCTCCAAGTTCTGCAGAGCTTAACTTTTTAAAATATTTCTGTCTACTCAGTCAACTTCACTGGCTTCCTAGTACATCAGGGATAAAGTATAAACTCTCTGTTTGACATTAAGGCCCTGCCCAGTGGGACTTGGCCTAGCTTTCCAGCCTTTCTATACCTTCCTTCCCTCTCCACACTCTATGGTTCCCCCAAACTGGACCTGAGGAATTCCTATTTTTCCAGATGATATTCCCTCTCCTGTCTCAGTGCCTCAGTACCCCTGTACCTAGAATTTGGGCCTTCCCTTACCTCCGCCTCTTAGAATTCCTTACGTCCTCAAGGTAGTTTGAGAGCCCCCCTCTACTTAAGCTTTTCCTGATCCTACCTGCTATTCCCCCTCCCAAAAACATTCCTTGTTTTTATTTTGCGTATACTGATTCCTCTACATGTTGCCTACCCCAACAGAATATAAGCTTTTTTGAGAAAAAGGACTATCATTTTTGTCTTCCAGTCTACAGTGCCTGGCATCAAGTAAGTACATGCTTCATAAATGCATGATTGCTTATTGATCAAGGCATTGTCTGGGGCAGAGAGATTATCTAGCAGAGGGAAAGCGGTCTTGGTGGCTGCAGCCAGAAACAAGATGGTGTGAATTTGATTAAATAGAATTTATTTTGAAGAGCACTATAAAGCATCTAGGAGGTGAAGTGAATAGAGCGCTGGGCCTGGAGTCAGGAAGACTTATCTTCCTGAGTTCAAATCCAGCCTCAGACACTAGGAAAGTCACTTAACCCTATTTGCCTCAGTTTCCTCATCTGTAAAATGAGCTGGAGAAGGAAATGGCAAACCACTACAGTGTCTCTGCCAATTAAACCCCAAATGAGGTCACAGAGAGTCGGACACAACTGAACACCAACTACATAAAGCTGAGCCAAATAGCTTCTTCTGGTTCCCAAGTCCCATCTGGTTGATGTGGATGGGGAAGGGAAGGTTCAGGTACCTGTTCTAGCCTTGTCTTGAGGGAAGTCCATCTTTGCAGGATCCCCCTCTCCTCAAATACCTGTGTTTGTTGAGATGAAACATAGCTAAGAGGCCCGAGGCCTCAGTAAACAAAGTTGGTAATTACTACCCCATTAACCCAGAGATTATCTTGACCAGGCCCAGAGAAACAGGTTTCTCAACAACTTCCAGGGCTGAATCAAATAGGTCAGCCTCTCTGACAGCAGGACAGAGAGCCCAGCCGTCTGGACAAGAGATGTGCCTTTCTCTGTAATCCTCAGAAATTCTGACTTTTCTGACTTTTCAGGCTCTGGCTTTCATTTGACTTTTTTAAAAAATTAAAAAAACAAAAACAAACAGAAACTGGAATGGCTCTCCCACAGGCAGGTGGCTATTCTGGTGTGCCTCCTTTATTTATGCAGTCCTTTCTTTCAAAGGATCATAAAACACTTTCAAAACGTGAGCTGGCTCCTCTTCACGGTGCTCCTCTAAATGGACGGATAGAAAATATCGCAGATTTAGAGGATCTTGGTCTTAGAGTCAAAAAGAGACCCTAAGATTCTCTATCCCAACCCCCTCGTTTCATCTTTTTGTTGATTGGGTGATGCTTTTTTACTTTTTCAGCACCACAATCACTTCCCAATTTTACCAGCTCCATGGAACCCTCCCCTAGAACCAAGAGAAAATTGATCAAGCAAAACCCACAGATAGAGCAACACCAGCTGACAGCGCAGCCAGTAGCCCATTCTCGGTATCTGCCCCCTCTCTACTGAGGGGGAGTACGCTTCATTACCTGTCTTCCTGAAGCCAAGAGGCATCATTACAGTTAATCATTGACTTGTTTTGGTGTCCTTTTACTTTATACCATTGCAATCATTGCATGCTGCTCTGCTGGTTCTCTTTATCTACCTCTGCATTAATTCACATAAGGTCTTTCCAGGTGTTTCTGAAGTCCCCATTCTTGTCTTTTCTCAGAATCAAAAGATCACGGAATTTTAGTGTTGGGAAGAACAACAGCCATGTAGACCAACCCATATCTGAAAAGGAATCCCTGCTACAACATGCTGGACAAACAGGCATCCATCCTCTGTTTGAAAAGAGTTATCGTGCTGCACTGAGTCTTTGCCTCTCCCCGATAAACATCCCTAATCCCTTTAACAACTCCTCACGGGCCCCAATAAACATCCCTAATCCCTTTAACAACTCCTCACGGGCCCCGGACTCAAACCCTTCCACCATCCTGATTGCCCACCTTCTGTTCCCTCCAACGTGTCAATGTCTTCATTGGCTGTCATATCTAGAACTGAAATGTGATCTCCAGAGTACAACAGGACCCTCACCTCCTTATTTCTGGAAGCAAAGCCTCTGTTAATGCTCACCAAGATTGCATTAAGGTTTTAGCTGCTAAGTCACAATGCTGATTCATACTGAACCTACAATCCACAAAAACCTATGTTGCCAGAAGACTCCATTCCAGGTATATTCCAGGTATATTTCTGGGTGTTCATATATATCCTCCTCCTTAATGGACACTTGCTCTGCTTCTAGCTTTTTGCTGTTACAAAAAGAGCTCCTGTGACAATTTTGGTATAGGTATATGGGGCCGTCTTTTCTGTTATTGATCTCCTTGAAATATATGCACAGTAGTGAATCGGAGAGGGGCAGAATGTAATTATTGAATCAAAGGTTATGAACAGTTTAATAATTTTTCAATGTAATTCCAAATTTTTCTCCAGAATGGTTGGACCAATTCACAGTTCAATCAGTAGGACTTGACCTCCCACAGCCTTTGTCAATGTTACGGGTGTGACATGAAACCTCCATCTTGGTTCAGTCACCATTCTGAAATGGTGACCTGGAATCCTCAGCTACTTCTCTCTTCTATTTAGGAACTGATGCTAATGTAGCAGCTTAATTACTTATCCATTGGCATTTTTTAAGACCTTTGGCCAGTATTCTTAAGATAGCCCAAGGCTATTACCAATTTCTACTTGTTTTCCAGGTCAGCCTAAGATGGAGATTGTGTTTCTAACATTACATATGCCCTCAAGAAGCTCCATGAGAGACAAGGAAGGAAGGGAGAAAGATTTCAGCACTGGGCACTGTTCTCTAATAAATGCTTGTTGACTTGGCTAACTGACTACCCAGGCAAAATGAAAAAAAAAATGGCAGTCCCCACAAATTAAAACAACATAGCGTATAAAATGTTCATAAAATAGGTGGTGGGCATGACCTAGGAGAAAGGTTCCTAGGGCTTTATTTCCCACAGTGCACTAGGCCAAAAAAGCCCATTGTTTATTGGGGGAGATTTTCTCTTACCATTAGTGATTTGCAGTTTTTTAGTATCAATATTAATAGTTTGCATTTCTTCTTTTGGACACTATTTGGAGCTTCTGACAATCCCCTCATTTTATAGATGGGGAAAGTGAGGCCAAGCAATCAATAAGTGTTCATTAACCACCCCCGACATCCCAAGCGTTGTGCTAGGAAACAGGGACACAAAGCATAAATGAAAGACTCCTTGCCTTCTAGAGTCTCCTACCACAAGGAATAGAGTGTGGGGGTCAGAAAGTCTTGAGTTCTAATTCTGCCTCAGACATCTACTAGCTGTGTGACTCAGGCAAGTCATTTAAACCTCTTTTGGCCTCAGTTTCCTTACTTGTAAAATAAGGAGAATAATAGCACCTACTTCACAGAGAAGTTCAAAGGAACTAACAGATACGAAGTACTTTGCAAGCCTTAAAAGTTACATAAAATTTTAAGTTACATACAATGTTATATAAATATGTATTTATATAAATATGTATTTTATAATATATAAATGTTATATAAATATATATATTTAAGGCTTTGAAGCCTTAAAAGTTATATAACTACTTACATGTATAACTATATACAAAATAAGTACCAGGAAAGGGAAGAAGGAGTAATAGCAACTGGGGGACTTTGGAAAGGTTTCACTCAGAGGTCCCAAGAGATGCTAGAAGTCATTTGGTCCCTCCTCATTTTAAAGATTTAGTAAAGTAAGTCACTCAAGACAACACAGCAAGTCAGTTGATATGTCAGGATGAGAACCCACCATTGCCCCCTTCCCTGGGACAGCTCTAGCCATCTCCAGCTATAATTCCAAGACATGATAATTTCTCAAAGATTGAAAGGGAGATCCAAGCAAAAGGATGAATGCAGAGCAAGACTACTGATGCGAGTGTGTAACTACAGCTCAGACTAAGGCATGAGGAATAACTCACTTCCCATATTTACTCCAGTGGGTTGGAACCTAAGACAAGAGAAGCCAACAACATAAGTCTGACGTGCTCGTGAACCAGCTCCTTTTAACATGAGTCTGCAGGGTGACCTGGCATCAAACTAGCTCTTGTGAATTTAGTCTGCTTTAAGAGAAGCAGCGTCCAAGAGGAAAGAAGCAATAGTCCCACCAAACTCTGTCCCAGTCAAACCACTACAGGAGTGTGATATCCATTTCTGAACAGTAAAATTTATAAAGCCAATGGCAAAGCAGGACCAGTCTACGAGATGCTGAAGGGCCCAGAGACCGTTGCATTCCAATAGCATAATAGCTATCTTCATGTATTTGAAGAACTATGTTTTGGAAGAAAGATTAGGCTTGTTCTTCTTGGGCCCAGGAAGGCAGAACCAGGAGTGATAAATAGAAGTAGATGAGGCAGAATTAGGCTCCACTTAAGGAAAAATGGCCTACCAGTTAAGTGTTATCCCAGCATGGAATGGGCTTCTCAGAATAATAGTGGGTTCCCCTTACTGGAGGCTTAAGAGCAGAAGCTGGATGACCATTTAGAAAAAAATTCATACTTAAATATAGCTTAGCTAAATGGCTTCTGAGATACTATGATTCCATGATTGACTTATGGCCCCTAATCTGCCTATGGAAGTATATAAGATTATATGGTAAGCAGTAGACAAGCAATATATCCAAGAGAATCTCCCCCAATAAACAATGGGCTTTTTTGGCTTAGAGCACTGTGGGAAATAAAGTCCTAGGAGTCTTTCTCCTAGATCATTCCCACCACCTATTTTATGAACATTTTATATGATATATTGTTTTAATTTGTGGGGACTGCCATTTTTAAAAAAATTTTGCCTGGGTACTCAATTAGTCGAGTCAACAAGCATTTATTAGAGAAAAGTGTTCAGTGCTGAAATCTTTCTCCCTTCCTTCCTTCTCTCTCATGGAGCTTTCTGAGGGCGTATGTAATGCTAGAAACACAACCTCCATCTTAGACTGGCCTGGAAACAAGAAGAGATTGTTGACATCCTTGGGCTATCTTAATAATACTGGCCAAGGCTCTTAAAAAAGGCCAATGGATAAGTAATTAAGCTGCTACATTAGCATCAGTTCCCAAACACAAGTGAGAAGTAGCTCAGGATTCCAGGTCACCATTCTGCTGGAGCACTCAGTGCCCAGATAGCAGAGAGAAACTACTTATCCCCAAACTATCTGAATAGCAAAAGTAACAGGGGAAATAATCCTCTCTTTTAAGGGCAGAGTTGTGGGGAGATAGGAGCTCTGCTACACTGCTGTAGTAGATTCACTCAAACATTTTGGAGAGATGCTGGGCAACATATATACAATAAGAGTTGCAAAATTGGCCATACCTAGTGACCCAATGATTCTTTTACTAGAACTTTATCCTGAAAACATCATTTAAAATGAAAAGAACACATTGACACAAAGTTATTCATGGCTCTACAAAAATATCTGTTCACTTTATTTATTTGTGATTGAAAAAAAAAAAAGCTAGACACAACCGATTCAGACTTTGGCTGTATCTGGGGGAGGAACAGACGTAAGATAAAAGAATGGGAATGGAAGTTGAGATTTCCCCCTACGTGCCCAATGATTGAACAGAATATGGATAAATGGCATCGTATTAATCTAGCAGAGTAATATGATGATGTTAGAAATAAGAAATGTAAATTTAAGGAGATATGGAAAGACCTATATTTAGTGATGAAAAGAGACCAGTAGCACCAGAATTGTTCCCATGTTGACTACATCTACTTTAAAAAAAAAAAGCCATAGGGGCAGCTAGGTGACACAATGGATAGAGCTCCAGCCTTGGAGTCAGGGGACCTGAGTTCAAATTTGACCTCAGACACTTGACACTTACTAGCTCTGTGACCCTGGGCAAGTCACTTCACCCTGATTGTTTTACCAAAAAGAAAAAAAAAAGCCATAAGATGAATGAACTTTGGAGGGACTTGAAACAAACACAGCAAATGTACTTCTTCTTTGTTTTATGACCTTTTGTTTGGTTCTATTATACAAAATGATGTAGCAGGTTATGTGAGACTCAATTTCTTCTTTCCAGTTTATTTGATTGTCACTATTGGTGATCAAAATCAGTTTAAATTGAAGAGGAGAAATAATCCCAACTCTCATTGCATGCAGAGTGCTAGGAAGACAGGAATATTGCTGTTGGTAGGACCACAGATTAGCTCAGACATTTTGGAGAGCAATTGGGCAACATATATGACTGTCATTTATAATATTTATAAAATTTATAAATTTAGAAAATTCATAATATTTATATTTTTAATTTATAATTTATTTTATTATATTATATATGTTGTATTTATTATATTATATTATATTATTTATTATATTATATTATATTATATATTATATTATATTATATTATATTATATTATATTATATTATATTATATTATATTATATGATATTATATTATATTAATTATATTATATTATTATATTATATATCATAAATAGATACATGCATTGGAAAGAAAGGTCTAATAACAGTGGCAGGGCAGGTGACCAGGGATAGGTGTTCAATACCGGGAGGGTGGCAGAACATTCAGTTAAGGGCTGAACTTTGGGAATAAGGATGAAAGGTAGGACCAGTGGCTAGGATGACAGCTTCAGGGGTATGTGACAGAATCACAGACTCTCAGAGTTAAGAGACGGGCTCTTCAGCACCATCTAGTACAACCTGTCCCTAGCCAACATGTCGTCATAGCCATATGCCAAGAAGTCATCATCTTCTAGCCTTTGCCAAAAGACCGCCAGTGAGGGGAGCACCTGCCCCCTCCTGAGGCTTCCTACTGCACACACGGATGGCACTAATTGTGCTTTCATCACGAGAAAATCAGCTTCTCTACTTCTGCCGGGT